TGAAGCTGCCTCTTGTACACGGCCATCACATATGAGAGCATTGGCCCAAGTCCCTGCTACTTCACTTCTGATCCAGCTGCCTGTTAATGTGCCTGGGAAGAGGCTGATCATGGCTCAAGCACTTAAGTTCCTGCCAGCCAGCAGGAGACCTGACTAGATTTCCTGACTCCTGTCTTCAGCCTTTCCAAGTCCTGGCTATTGCAGTTATTTGAAGAGTAAACTAGCAGATGGAAGACCTCTTTATGTCTCACTCTGTCTCTCTCTCTCTGTCACCATGCCCTTAAAATAAATACATAGTTTAGGGGGAAAAAAGCATCTATTAGTTTCAGTTGGAATGCAAAAAGCATTTAAAAGCAGTTTCTCCACAACATTCTCTGTTCATAAGTAATATGTCAATAATTTTTGTGATTATCAAGTATTTTTTTTCAATTTTTACTTGTTTTCATTTTATATGAAATGCACAAAGACAGAGGTAGACAGAAAATTCCATCTACTGGTTTACTTCTCAAATATCTCCAACAGCTACAGGTGGGCCAGGCCTAAGCCAGGATCCTAGAACTCAATCTGAGTGTCCCACACGAGTGACAGACACCCAAGTATGAGAGCCATCATCTGTTGCCTCTTAGAGTGTGCATTAGCAGGAAGCACGAATCAGAAGCAAAGCTAAGACTTGAATCCAGGCACTCTGACATGGAATGCAGGCATCCTAAATCGAGCCAACTACTGTACCAAACACACTATAACAAGCAAGTCTTTGTCAATGACCAACTCCAGTGATTTATTATTATGGAACAAATGAGGCTTGTGCAGTAGCATTAATGAGCCTGTCTTGATCAGCCATCTCCAAAGTGGGCATAATTTCCCTATGCCCACTCCCTACAATTGCATAGGAATAAAATCTCAATCAGTTATAAGAACTCACTTAAAATTTTCCCCAAAAAACTTAGTGATATATATATATTAAGAACTAAGAACTAACTGCTATTTAAAAAGCTATAAAGCATTCAAGAGAAAAACCTACCGAGAGTTGCCTGAGGAGTGGCCAAACAGAGCTATTAATCTTATCTACTAGGTCTATTTGACTTGGGTCCCTAATGGGCACATAGGGTCTGCTTCATTTTAGCCATATGGAGCAACCTTGAGCAATCCTTTGTTATTTATAGATTCATACCTTATCTAGTCCCAGAAATGTCCTTCTTTAAATTAATTAATAGTTTTCTTGTCAGTAGCTTCTTTTCAGAGACAATACACTCCCTGTCTTTAAAGATGTTTTCGACCAATCACATTCTAAAGAAAATAATGTCTAATCTGTGAAAAAGGTGTTCCAGCTTACCTAAAGTCTGCCTTTTAGGGCCAAGCCAATCTATGTTCATTGATTAAGATAAATTAAAAATTAATAGTCATAGAATTATAAATTCTGACTAGAATTTGACTCCTTTGGAATACTTCCCAAGACTTATTAAAAATCATTAGGCTTATGTTTCCTGGATCTGAGTCACTCAAATTCTGCACTGAATAAACCTCATGATAACCTTTTTGTACAGCCTCTTTCTTCCTATTTTTACACTTAGTAACCAGTCCAAGGGAAATAATCCAAATTTGTGAAAAAAATGTATACACAAAGATGGCTGTGTAACAGTATTTATAATAGTAAATCGATAGAAACAACCCAAATGTGCAAAAGTAAGATGCAACTTTAAAAACCCTGGTACAGCCTCATGATATATAACTAAACAACAACTATATTAAGTTGTACCTACAAGGAATGGTAAATTATTAAAATATCATTTTAAACAGGCAGGATAAAATCTACATATACAGTACTATCTCCACCTTGGTTACATATATCTTATTTACATATATATAAATATATATATATCCTTATATAAATTATCTAAATTTTAACATTATGAAGCACAAGAAGATAATAAAAATCACCCATATTCTCATTATACTAGAAGTAAATTCATGAAAACACCAGTGTTTGAATCTTGTTGATAAAATCATGAACTTTTTTTATTCTCTTTTTATTTTTTTTGCTGGTTTTTTTGGCTCATCCAATTTTTACAGTGAACTTTATCAGAAAAATAATGAAACTTTTTGTTTGGTTTTAACATGAAACCATTCAACAGGTAGTTGCACGGGAACTTTTTTTTATACTATTTTTTATTTTTTAAAAAAAGTTAACAGACATAAAAATTCTCCATGTTTACTATGTACTATATGATATCTTGTTATTACATGGTTACATTGTGCAATGTCTAATCTGAATAATACATCTTTTTTGAAATTTAACATTTCTTACAGTGAAAACATCCAAAAACTGATAGGTTTTTGAATGGTGAAATATGCAGTACATTAACAATATCTATAGTCACTCTACTGTGCAATAGACCCCCAGAACTTCTTACTCTTACCTAGCTATAACCTAGTACCATCAATCAATTTCTCCTGACTTCTGCTTATCCTCTTCCCTCCCTAGACTTTGGTAACTATCATCATATTAACTTTTATGTGACACATATTTTTTAGACTACACATAGGAGTGAAATCATGTGATATTTGTCCTGTGCTTGGCTTTTTTCACTTAATAACTTCCATTAATGTTATTGCAAGTGAAAAGATTTTATCTTTTTTATGGCAAAGTAAATATTCCATAGTGTATATGTACCATATTTTCTTTATCCATTTTACATAGTGTATGGATACTTAGGTTATTTCTTGGTTACTGTGAATAGTGCTACAATAAAGGTGGGAGTACAGATGTCTCTTCAATAGAGTGACTTCATTTCTCTTGGAGATAGATAGACAGATACACACACACACACACACACACACACCCAGGAGTGGGACTCCTAAATCATATGGTAGTTCTACTTTGAGTGTTTTATGAAACTTACATCTGTGTTTCACAATGCTTGTACTAATATACATTCCTATCAAGAGTGCACAAGAGTTCCCTTGTCTCCACATCCTCACCAACACTTGTCATCTTCTTTTTATATTAGCCAATCTTTATGGAGTAGGCGATATTGTGTTTTTCATTTATATTTCCCTTATATTTGTAATGTTTAGCATTTTTTCATGTACCTGTTGGCCATATGTATATCTTCCTTTGAGAAATGTCTATTTAGATCTACTGACCATTTTTAATTGGATTGTTTGTGTTGCTATTGAATTGGAGTACTTTATATATTCTAGGTATTATTAACCCCTTGTCTTATGTATAGCTTATAATTAATTTATAGCTTACAAATAATTATAAATAACCCTAAACCTAACCACAACCCAATCTGTAGGTTGTCTCTTTACTCTGTTGATTATTTCCTTTGCTGTGCAGAAGCCATTTAATTTGACAAAATCCCACACATCTATAGCTAACTGATCATTGACAAACATGCTAAGAACATTATTAGAAAAAGGATATTTTCAATAAATGGTACCTGGAAAAATTTATATCCACATGCAGAAGAGCAAAACTAGACCCATATTTCTTACCATGTACAAAAATCAATTCAAAGTAGATTAAAGGCCTAAATGTAAAACCTCAAACTTTAACACTACTAGAAGGAAACAAAGGGAGAACACCACAGGAAATTGGAATGTGCAACAATTGTCTGGCTCAGAATGTACAAGCACAGGAAACAAAAAAAACAAGGACTAACAGGGAATTTAATGGAGTCTCAATAATAATCTAATACTAATTTCATACCAGATATTAGTGCTATTAAGACTGTCGAATGATTAAGCTATCATCAGTGAGGCACATGTTTTGAATTGTCTTTCTAGTAGCAGATATTGACTCCATATGCTAAGTAAATAAACGTACAAAATCTATTCTCAGAGCTACTCCTGTCCCTGCCATCTGTCCCAAAGATGATAAGCAGAACATTTTTAAATAATCAGAAGTAAGGTCAATGTAATTTCTCACCAAGTAACCCCTAAATATTTGAGTTATTCAAAAAGGAACTTAAGAAACATGACAACACATAGATCTAAAGGAAAGTTTCCTTACAAATTTTGGGTTAAGGACAAAAAATTTAAATCTATACGCTAATGTAAGTCCTTTTAAGCACTAATTTAAGAAAATCCAATATATAAAACCTGGACTTACCTAATAAATCAGAGGATCGATATACATATTTTCAAAGGACTGTTTATGAAATAATTTCTCATAGAATTCTTTTAAAGAGCTGCTTTTCTCATACATTTTAGTATTTTTAAAATAGTTTCCAATTTGACAAATGTGGCACCATGTGCTTTTGGGCAAGTCACTGAAATTGTCTAGACCTCAGTTTCCTCAAATATATAAAAGGGCTTAAATACAGCTGGCTGCCTCATTCAGTTTTCATAACTATAAAACAAGATAATTTATATAAAAGTATTATAAAATTATAATACCTTTTATTACTGCTGGTGCTATTAAAAAGTATCTGGGGCTGGCACCACGGCTCACTAAGCTAATCCTCTGCCTTGCGGCGCCAGCACACCCAGTTCTAGTCCCGGTCGGGGCGCCGGATTCTGTCCTGGTTGCCCCTCTTCCAGGCCAGCTCTCTGCTGTGGCCAGGGAGTGCAGTGGAGGATGGCCCAAGTCCTTGGGCCCTGCACCCCATGGGAGACCAGGAGAAGTACCTGGCTCCTGCCATCAGATCAGCGCGGTGCACCAGCCGCAGCGCACTGGCCGCGGCGGCCATTGGAGGGTGAACCAACGGCAAAGGAAGACCTTTCTCTCTGTCTCTCTCTCTCTCACTGTCCACTCTGCCTGTCAAAAAATAAAAAATAAAAATAAATAAATAAATAAAAAGTATCTGGGAAAACTCAGAATTTTATTATTATCACTAACTTCATACATTTTTACATTTAAAATATTGACTTTCAAATAAACAACAATTTCAGGTGATATATTTATATATAAAAATTGAATCTTCCCTTGGTTCATTATCCATAATCACCATATTTCTCAGTCCTTCTGTGCATCATTATTTCCATGATTTTAATACCTGAATTATGAGAGGCTCCAGCAGCTTTTCTACAGTGAAAGTTTGGACCTGCAGATCCTGAGGGTCGATACTCAGTGTGATTGGTGTTTCAGTCGACATGTTTCCTGTGCACAAACACACACCAAAAAGGGCTTATTGTAAAGAAAATACTTTCTAAAGAACATCCATGAAAATCACAGAGTAAGTAAAACTTATATTAGGTGCTCCTGGTATCAGCTGTACTCCTCAGAGGACCAGAGTGTCAAAACTTGAGATTTGACAGCAGACAAACAAGACATTCTCCAACCTTTCTGTGTCTGGCTTTAAGTCCTCTAACAAATTATGCTAGTAAGTTAATAACTAAATTAATAATTCATCCCAGCTTGGTTTGCATTTTATCAATAGTCTTAAGTGAAAAGAATAGCCAATTTGTTGGGATGTCTTACAACATACAAGTCCTGGATTTCAATGAAATCATAGTACTGAAATGGTCCATGCCCATATGTTTTCCCATTCTTGTTAATGATGATTTAGAAAAGCCAGACAGAATTTTGGAAGACATGTGATATGTCCCTACTTGCTTGGGAAACTACTTATTTGAGGGTTTTAATAGTAGAAGAAGATGAGAGGCAATTTGCTTTTGTATACACAAAAGAAACTAATAGAAATTGGCTAACACTAACCGATAGAATAAATAAAGGGGAGAGTGATCCAACATGGGAAGTGAGATACTCAGCAGACTCATAGAATGGCAGATGTCCTAAATAGCACTCTGGCCTCAGAATCAGCCCTAAAGGCACTCGGATCTGGCTGAAAAGCCCATGAGAGTATTTCAGGCATGGAAAGCCAAGACACTCTGGCAAAAAGATCTCTGTGAGTGAGATCCCAGTGGAAAGAACAGGTCTTCAAAGAGGGAGGTGCCTTTCTCTGAAGGGAGGAGAGAACCTCCACTTTGACTATGACCTTGTCTAAACAAGATAAGAGTCGGAGAACTCAAGGGGCTTCCATAGCCTTGGAAACTCATGACTGGTGCATAGGGAGATTACTGATGCCATAAACAGGAGTGTCAATTTGTAAAGTCAACAACAGGAGTCACTGTGCACTTACTCCTCATGTAGGATCTCTGTCCTTAATGTGCTGTACACTGAGGCTTAATGCTATAACGAGTACTCGAACAGTATATTTCACTTTGTGTTTCTATGGGGGTGCAAACTGTTGAAATCTTTACTTAACGTACACTAAACTGATCTTCTGTTAAAAAAAAAAAAAAAGAAAGAAACTATCAATTCCCAACTTGACTCTCACTGGGATTAAACATGACAATAGGTCTGATCTGATTTCATCATCATTTAAAAAAAAATCATCTATTATTTTTCACTTTATGTTTCTGTGTGGGAACAAACTGTTGAAATCCTTACTTAAGGTATACTAAGCTGATCTTCTGTATATTAAGATAATCGAAAATGAATCTTGATGTGAATGGAAGGGGAGAGGGAGTGGGAAAGGGGAGGGTGGTGGGTGGGAGGGACGGTATGGGGGGGAAAGCCATTGTAACCCATGAGACGTACTTTGGAAATTTATATTCATTAAATAAAAGATAAAAAAAAAAAGTATACATTATAATATACAAGGTTATATGTAAAGTATATTATAAATTATAATATAAACATAATATATAACTATTAAAAATATATTAATTATAATATAAAACTATATGTAGTATAATGTAAAATGTAATTTAAAATATATAATATAAAAAGAGAAAAAAAACAAGAAGGCACTGTTTTTTAAGAAAAAATAGAAAAAAGAATTTTAAGTCATCCTTTAAGGTATTAATGTTATCCTTAATCAATTCAGTGAGATTTTTTCCTAAGAATGTACACATCAAATTATCATAATATCAAGTGATATGTGGCATATCATTACAAATTCAGTTTAACATTCAAATAAATGTATCTGTCATAAAGACTAATATCCAAATCACTAGACCTCCAAATCTGTATTAACTTGGTCATAGCCAATAATCACCCACAAAGTATTCACTGAGTCGGGATAGGGGAATGCAGAGGGAGTGAGAGGAAGAAACATATCTCTCCTGTATACAATATAACCCATTTAAAACAAACAGAGAAAATATATATAGTCTATAAAAACCTTCCTTCATAACTTTTACCTATTTTCTTTAATAGTTTCTATTTTTGCAGGCTAGGAGGGCATAAAAATATGCCCTTAGAAAATATTATGATATTCCCTATGTTACCCATGGAACTATAGAAAAACAAAAAGAAAATATTATGTTCACCTCAGTTTTTCTATTTATTGTTTTAAATACAAAGGCAGAAATATTTTCTTTTTAATTAACTAGTTGGTTGACTGGCTGAATGGGTGGATGAATATATATTTTCATGGTATCTCTCTCATCCAGAATTAATCCTTCCAACTCTCCTCTCAATATCAATAATTGTAGGAGAGGAATGTTCTCTTTCCTACATTCTGTCTACAACTCCTAGGGGATATATCAGGTTAGATTCCTAGGGAATCTCAGGTTAGGAGCCTATCTTCCATCCAAACTCCCTCTCCTGAAAGTATACCTTATGAAGGATGCCTCCTCCAACTGTTTTCACCACCCTATCCCTGGTCTAGCTCCATAAAATTACATTTTTGCTAGTCAACCTCTCCCACTCTACTGGATCCTCATCCTGACTCCATAAAAGTGCTATTGCTTATATTCAAAGATAATTATGGTCTATGTGCATATGCATAAGTGAAAAAATTAGTGCTTCACCAAGGCCAAGGCCTTTCCACAATGCACCTAGTACACACAGAAAGACAAAAGCATCATACAGCTAAAAATGATTCTCCTTGGCTCTTATCTTGATGTACTCAAATTCTCAGATTAATTACATTATTTATTTTTAAAAGCAAATAATGTAGAGTCCAGAAGTTTACTGCTCTTCAGATATTATACCACATGATGGCATTCACAATTCTCTCAATGCAAAAATTGAAAATTTGAAGTGTTCTTGAAAATAACAAGAATCTGCCAAAAGGCCATCCCCAGTGACTTAACATAGAAATTTGTACATAATTAAAATAGTGATCTCAAATATACTTATAAAACATTTCATTCTTTCATGTTCCTTTGCAAAGCTTGACACTAAAAAAAAAGTAATTATGCTGAAAGTCTATAGAAAACCAATTGTGACAAGTCCAATAATTTAGAAAAGCATGTAAGTACAACTATATACTCCAAGGAATTCTATACTATTAAAAACATGAATGCACACTAATATTCACTTCATGTACAATATAAAAACACTTTCTAGTCAACATAGAAAATTATAATGAGCAATTTTAAGTGGGTTTTAAAAAGGACAATTGATGCATTGACTGTCCAAGGCCTAACTGCAGCCATGTTTTCCAATAGCTATCATACATTATTTATTCCTCTACTAATAACTACAGTAAAAATTAAGGGCTTATATAAAAGCCATCAGAACTGTTAACTGCAGAGATAGATTGCATTTTCTGAAATGTAGCACATCTCTAGATAGTTCTCTTATTGAATATAAACCAAATGACCTGTTCAGCTCTCCCTTCCTCCCTTCAAGGCTGTTGAATCTGAACACATCCTTGTTTTTAGTCTATGCTTACCTCCATCACACTCACTTTTTAAATGTGTCTACAATTCTTTTACTCTCCAAAAGTCATTTAAAGAAAAACAAATTATTCAAATTGTATTAAGTGAAAAGATTTTGTCAAACTTTGTTTTATGTCTGTCAAATTGTTAAGAACAGGGGCCAGGGCCACAGTGTAGCGGGTAAAGCCACCACCTACAGTGCTGTAACTTTGCCTTTCAAATAATTAAATCTTTAAAAAATTGTTACTAACAACAAATACTACTATAGTTTTAATGAACTGTGATCATTTTAAAATTTACCATACATGAATGAAATCAACATCTTTTCATTTTGATTACAGCTTATAGCCCTTGCCTACATTTCTGCGGAACTATGGTCTTTTTTTAAAAAAGATTTACTTATTTATTTGCAAGGCAGAGCTATAGAGAGGCAGAGGCAGAGAGCAAGAGAGAGGTCTTCCATCTGCTGGTTCACTTCCCACATGGCCACAACAGCTGGAGCTGTGCCAATCCGAAGCCAGGAACCAGAAGCTTCTTCCAGGTCTCTGATGTGGGTGCAAGGGCCCAAGACTTGGGGGCCATCTTCCACTGCTATCCCAGGCCAGAGCAGAGAGCTGGATCAGAAGTGGAGCAGCCGGTACTCGAACCAGCACCCATATGGGATGCTGGCACTGCTGCCAGCGGCTTCACCCACCACACCACAGCATCAGCACCAAACTATGGTCTTTTTACTTTTTACTTGAACATTAAGCCCTCAACTGTAATATAAGTTAAAAGTGTTATCTCAAAAATTAAAATAATTTTAAAGAATTTTTAAAATAAATGCATTCTAATTAACAAAAACTAAAAATACATTTTTTTAATTTCATTTCAAGTAAAAATTTGAATAACTATTATTTTCATGTATCAGTACACCAAGTCACAATTTATCCCGCTGCTATCTAGCCTCTCTCCTTTCCTAGTAGTGTTTACCTTCTAAAAGTAGAAACATGGTCTCCTTTATAAGCTAGTCAACTGAAACATATGCTTCAAGAAACACTCCCAACAGTACTGTCAAATAGCTGAGTTCAAATGTACCTTTGGAACTGAAATGTTTGGTTTGTTTTCTGTTTGGGTTTGTTTCTCAATCATTCCACCTAGCATTTAGATTCCCTCTAAAAGGCAAATCTAAATTGACAGATAGGATAGCCCTATGGTAACCTGTTTACAGAGCCCAGAGCCAATCTTTGTAATGAGATATATCCTTCAGAATATAACCCTGGTGTTCTATCAATGAGAACTCACAAATGGACTTACTTGTTACTCCTCTTATGACAGGTACTATCCAACATAAAAATCAAGTCAAGATAGCTGACACAGTTTTCTTCTTTCATCTCATGGACAAAAAGAGAGGACATTGTTGTAATCTAAAACAAGATCTAAGTAAACTTTCACAGGCTTTAAAGCGTGCCCTTTCACTAACAAAGTTTCCAAAGCTATGCTGAACACCAAAAATTGGGGTTAAGAAAAGTAAAATCTGGGGTCAGTATCTAGCACAGTAGTTACTATGTTTCTTGGGACACCTACATCCCACATCAGAGGGTCTGGGTTTGAGTTTGTGCTCTGCTTCCAATTCCAGCTTCCTGTTTATGCACACACTGGGTGGCAACAACTGAGGGTTCAGTACTTGGATTCCTGCCTATCTCTCGAACAAATAATGACTCAGAATGTGACAACCATATCCTAGTAAGATTTTTGTTTGGGAATCACATTGTAGTATTGCTATAAGAGGCAGGTAACATGTAAAATTTAACCACGCTTCAACTTCCTTACTTCATTTGTAAAATTCTCCAGTTCATTGACTATTATCTCCAATCAATCAGGATTACAGAACAGGGGAGGTAAACAGATTAGAAAGATGCTTATAAGAAACAGCATTTTTTCAAAATTACGTATAGCCAAGGTAATTCAAGAACTTTTTATGATAAATTTTACCACGGAAAAACAAATTTCTAAACAACTTTTTTTTTTACTTAATCTATAATAGAAACGTGAACACAGACTTCAAAAAGACTGGCAAAACTGGATTTGTCTTCTATCTCTTGATTAAAAAAATTCTTCTAGAAGGAATATGTATAATATGATTAGTCTTCACTTCTCACAAATGTTTATTTATTTTATTTGAAAGGCAGAGAGACATAGACACACAGGCAAATCATCTATCCACTGGTTCACTTCCTCAGTGCCCACAACAGCCAGGAATGGGCCAGGCTGAAGCCAGGAACTGGGAATTCAATCTAATTCCACTGCTTGAGTCATCACGGCTGACTCCCAGGGTCTGTGTTAGTAGGTAAGCTTGAATCAAGAGCAGAGCCGGGACACAAGTCTAAGTACTCCCATATGGCACATAAACATCTTAACCACTAGGTAGGTCAAACATCTGACCCAATTTATAAAATCTTAAGAGCTAAGGAGCACCTCCCAAACAATTCAGGGACATTTCCTACAACAACCTTTATTTCAACAATCTATGAATATAAATGATGAGAAGCTCACTATTCCATTAGATGCTGGTGATCACTTTTGAGAGGTTTTTCCTTGGGGTGAATTGAAATCTACAGTTCTTAACTTCTATCCAATAGAGATGAGTTTATAAAGTAAGAAAAATATACTTTATAAAGAGAAAAAGTTTAAGTTTGGAGATGGACCATAATATAGCCCTCGTGTTCAGCATCAAAGGAAGAACACATCTGTTGACAGTAGTAATAAATGTCCTTAGGGATAGACTTCAAAACAGGAAAAACCTATCCCCATGAGTCTTCCCTTATATCTCAAACTACCTTTGTCCACACTGTCTGAATTCTCTTCACTCCATTTTATTCTCTACCTGAAAATGAGCTTCTATCAATTTTTTTAAAGATTTATTTATTTGAAAGTCAGAGTTACACAGAGAGAGGAGAGGCAGAGAGAGAAAGAGAGGTTCTTCCATCCGATGGTTCACTCCCCAATTGGCTGCAACGGCCAGAGCTTCACCGATCTGAAGCCAGGAGCCAGGAGCCTCCTCCAGGTCTCCCATGTAGGAGCAGGGGCCCAAGGACTTGGGCCATCTTCCATTCCTTTCCCAGGCCATAGCAGAGAGCTGGATCGGAAATGGAGCAGCAGGTCTGGAACCGGCGCCCAGAGGATTAACCCACTGCGCCACAGCACCAGCCCCACTTCTATCAATTTCAAATTCATTTAATTTAACACATTTTTAATTTTTAAGACAGTAAACTTTGAGAAGCCATGGGGTACACCCATTCAAAGATACATTAGTATGACCTAGCTCGCTGCTCTCCAGTGCACACCCTGGGCACACCTCTGTTAAAGCATGCACAAGTGTCTTATTTTTGCCTGGCAGCAAAAGAGAGGAAAGTGGAAGATTGGAGACACAGAGATAACAGTGTAAAATTTCACTCATTTCCAAAATTTAACTAGGGGTGGCTAATCCCTCACAAACCTTTCTACCAACTCCTCCTCCCAATAAGAATAACATATGACCCATCTGTCTCCAAAATCTAGAGCTCAGGCTCCTCTTAGTAAAACTGTAATTCTTGGCCAGCGCTGCGGCTCACTAGGCTAATCCTACGCCTACAGCGCCAGCACTCTGGATTCTAGTCCTGGTTGGGTCGCCAGTTCTGTCCTGGTTGCTCCTCTTCCAGTCCAGCAGCCATTTGTGGGGTGAACCAACGGAAGGAAGACCTTTCTGTCTTTCTCTCTCTCTCACTGTCTAACTCTGCCTGTCAAAATTTAAAAAAAAAAAAAAAACCTGTAATTCTTTAGGTAAGTTAACATGTACCGGTAGGGTTGTTTAAAAACCTATCTAAAATATGATGCTTATAGAAAAGTCCTAGTATTTAATATAGACAATAATAGTATAGAAAAGTATCAGTATTTAATTGTTTTTTAAAAATGAACTTTTACAATGCAATTAATTTATAAGGTGATAGGTGACTCCCCTTTTAATTATTAAATTCCATGATATGTTATCATTCTTCCTAATTAGTCTAACTTTACTCACTTTTCAACTAGACAGTTCAAGTTGTTTATGCAAAGATTAGTGCAAACTCAAATATATTTAGACAAATAATTTTTATATGCCCCAAAAGCAGATCTTCATTTTGTTCTGTTAGCATTTTATCCTGTACAATCCAGACTCTTATTCCTGCCATCATAAGTTTACTTTGGAGAGACCAATAGATTAATACCTCCTGGTCTCAGCTTCCTTTTTATCTATTAAATTTGTTCAGTATGAATTCTACAGTTTTCAATTAAGTCATTAAACAGGTGAGAGTCAGGCATGAAATCTGATTTTGATACCATCACAAATCTCTTTCCAGATATATAATGAACAATTAATGAACACTTTAGACAGGATTTTCAATTACTAATCACTTTTATGTAAAATAATCTACCTTGTTTTTCATTTTATCAATGTGACATATCACAGGGATGATTTCCATGGTGACTGCTATTTATTATTGCTATTTAAATACATTTTTATTATTTGATTTTCCTGCAGTTTGGTGCCTAGATCTCCAATATGTTTTCAGAGATCATCTTTTTTCCTTTTTTGAAAATAAGTATATTTTCTGTTCCCTGTATTGTGGTCAGTTTGGGTTGCTGTAATAAATATAACATAGAATAGGTGGTCTAAACAACAAATATAGTTTTTTTTTTTATCTTTCACAGTGCTAGAATATAGGCAGTTCCAGGTCAAAGTGATGGCAGATCTAGTGACTGAGAAGGACCTGTTTCCCTATTAGCCAATGACGGCCTTCTCCTTATATCCTCACGTGGCAGAGTACAGAGCACATCATTTGCCTTTCTCATGAGAAGGGCAATAATCCCACTGAGGAGGGTTCAACCGTCATGGCCTAATTACATCCTTTAGGCACCTCATCCTTACACCACCAACTTGGTGTAGAATTTCAACATACAAATTTATGGTGGGGCATATACATCTAGTAAAGAGAACCTTGGTTTCATACAGGTCTGCCATTTCTCAGTGACTCCCAAGAGAAATTCTATAATCATGTCTATGGATCATTTTAGAATTCAGGGATACATTTCCTCAGTATATTCTATATTTCAACTAATTTTTAAAAACTAAGCTCTCTGCTTTATTTTCATCAACTGAAGGTTCAATTCCTTTCAATTAAAATTTGTATTACCTAATACAAGATTCAATGACGTATATCGTAAAAACAAGTCTTTTCCCCATCCCATCTAATTTCTATCTGATCACTTACTCATATAGTTCCAGATATACTATATGTAATACAGTATATAGGCATTTATGTATTAATACAAATAATACCATTGATTTTCTATTTAATTAAATTCTATTGCTAATTTGACATAATTTATGTGAAATATCTGTTATCTATTAATAGCATGTCATCTAATTTATGCAAAAGATCTATTCCTTCCTTATTCATTTTAATGTATCTTTCTCTCAAACCGCAGCTTTGGAATTTCCTTTATCTTACCTTTAACTTCTTACCTAGCAAATAAGACATGCTGCAGAATCCAAGATAACTGAACGGGAAAAGACATGCTGATTTTGACAAAGGGGAGATAATAGAAGAAAAGAGAAGGGAATGCATTCCCTGAGGACAGTTGGAGAGAAGTCTGCAGTGTAAACTCTACAGAAGTAAGAGAGATGCCATGGAATAGCATGGACAGCACAATCAGAAAGCAACAACTGGGATATAACCTGCGACTCCCAAAGCCAGTGGCTAGAGGAGAAACCATCTTCAAGGACCAAGATAAGAGAAGCCTGCGGCAGCCTGTGTCACTGATGATATGGCCTGAGTAAGAATCTTGCAGACCCCACTGACTTTAACCTTGGCCTGGAGCACCAGTGGGGAGCAGGGTACCCACCTAACCTCGTGAAGGGAGAGTACATTCCTTTCCTCTCATCCCCCAACAAGGGTTCCCTGCAGACCAGCAGGGAAGAAGCACCTTCTTAGCAAAATGGAGTAGAGGCTGCTGTGGCCCCAGTGCATATACCACTGAGGGATTTTATTAGAGGGATAAACCTGCGGCCCCAATGACTCTGAGGATGGCTTAGAGGATTGGTGGGGGCAAGGTGCCCAATGAGGCCTGTGAAGAACTCTCCTCCCTCACTCTATCATGGTGCCTGGATTTACCCTGCCAAGGCAGAGCACTAACCAACTTCTATAGGGCAGGCAGCTGGCTCAGGGAAATCCTTGGCTCTCTTCTTGGACACGGGAGGCTTGAAGGGCTGAGAGTGGATTCCCCTACTCCCTGTAACTGTGGGAGCCCTGCATGCTACGACTGTGCAAATTCTGTGATGGCACAACAGGATATGGGGTATGGCTGGGTCTCTGGGTAATCACTATGTCTGGCTTCAGAGGTTTAGAGTGCCCTGAGTGCCAGGTGTAGGTCATCACATAGGACGCTATGCTCACACTGAGGAACACACAGATCCTTTGCATGCTTCATGCAACTGCATGGGGAAGGGGGGCGGGTATAACCACTGTGGGCTCACCCTGGCCATTGGGCACCTTGGCAAAGGATTGAGGCTCTGATCACACCAGCTGAAGTCATCATACCCTCCCCCACTGATGATGATAGAAGTGATCTACCATGTCCAACTACAGTGTCACTCCAGAAATTCAAACAATTTGTCACCACTTGTCCAGCTTCACAAATGATACTTAAATATGTGCTAGACACAGAAACAGAGATAGCATGATGAAAGAATGTGAAGGTAGACAATGTCCTAGTAAAAGTATAAGGGAAATAAAAAACAGACAACAGGAACGTTAATGGAAAGATGGTAGGACTAAACCGTTACTTATTAATAATAACCTTGAGTGCAAATGACCTAAATTCTCCAATTAAAATACACAGACTGGATGAATGGGTTAGAAAGCAGACCCATCTATTAGCTTGCCTACAAGAAACACATCTCACCAGCAAAGATATACACAGACTGA